CAGGTTCAAGCGCAGGCTCGGCCCCTGGGGGTGAGCGTTGCCTTAGACTTTGCGCCCTGGGTGCCTTGTTTGTCTGGGCTGGGTCCAGCCTGGTGTTGGACCAACNTGACGGAGGGTGACTTGGCAGGTTCAAGCGCAGGCTCGGCCCCTGGGGGTGAGCGTTGCCTTAGACTTTGCGCCCTGGGTGCCTTGTTTGTCTGGGCTGGGTCCAGCCTGGTGTTGGACCAACTCAGGTATGGCCTTGGGTCACAAACCCCTGAGCTTTGTCGTTTTTCAGTAAATCAGGGCTGGGCCCTGGCTCTGCTGCCGCAATGAGCCGCCCTCCCGTCTCCAGAGCCAGGCCTGGTGCAGCTCCCTGGAGCATTCGCGGTGATGGTCTCAGCCTGGGGGGCTTTAAAAATCTAACACCTGGGGCCCACTCCAGCCTTTGGACAGCTTGGGCCTGGGATGGAACTTTGCTGAAAGCTCCAGGCAATCCTACTGTGACCCTGGGGTGTGTACCAGCAATTTACCCTGCGGGGGGTAGGGGGGCGCCCAGGAGGTACAGCAGGGACAGCTTTGGCACAGCAGAAAGAAACCATATATGGAATCAGGAAATGCTGCTATCAGCGGTGGCTGGGTGGGCTGATTCTCACGGCTGCCTGGCCCTTAGGAAGGGGCAATGGTGCCTGTCCTACCTGCATGGCAATGCTATTGTGAAAATCCACCGGGCAGCGACTTCTGTTCGTGTTATGCAAATGCTGGCCATTCATGTTGCGGCTTTAGGAAGACACTCGGGCTGAAGCAGGAGGCTTGTTTTCACTGTGGGGGTGTCTGTGCCCACAAGTGCCAGAGCGTGACAGGTTCAGCCCCGTGGGTGAGCATCTGCAGAGCGGCCTCCACGGTGATCAGGACCTTCACCTGGCACAGCCTGGCCTCTCGGAGGGAGCTGGGGAGACGCTGTCCTCCTCTGCTGCATCCCCACTGGCTGAAACCCCTAGGGCAGGGCAGGGCAGGGCTGGGAGTGGCCCCGCGACAGAGGCCCTGGTTCAGGGCGCCATCGCAGCAGGCCTGTCTGAGGGAGGAAGCCAAAGGAGGCGGGCCTGCAAGTTTAGAGCAGTGAGTCTGGTGGTTCTGGGGTTTTGCCAGAAAAAAAATACTCCGGGCTTTTTGGAATTTGATATAAACAGTTTAAAAACTAGCTTATGTATTTACCTAATCATACTTTTTGGTTCGCCATGGTTTCCACGGCTGCTTCATCCCTGTATGCGCCTCCCGCACCCACCTGCGCCTCCCGCATCCACCTGCGCCTCCCGCACCCACCTGCGCCACACAGTAAATCTCACCTGCCGGCGGAGCTGCACAGCCTGACCTGCTGGTGGCCCTGGACAGACCATCCCTGGGGCCATGTTCGGTGGACGGTCCAGGCACACTTCCTCTGCAGGACCACAGTGGGGGCCCAGGAGGGACCTGAGGCTGCTGCCCCGACCTCAGTGGCTTCACCTTCAGATCAGACGCCCCAGGAGCCCAGTTGAGAGGAGCGGGTGCCTTAGGGTGGAACAGTCACGTATCTCTGGGAGTGTGAATTCCATGTGTCACCTGAGCCACACACGTGGAGTTGATCCCAGCTGGCATACGGGCACAGTCCCCTCACTCCAATGAGAGGCTCTGCCTCCCAGGTCCTTCCCCCATCAGTCCCTTGCCCCAGGGTGGGGCTGTCACAGGGGACAGCCAGAGACTTGGGTCCGATGGGGTCCTGCCCAGCTCCTGAAGCGCACTTCAGTACCTCAAAATTCTGCCCCCTTCAGAGATGGGAGAGCCCCCAACACCCCCTCTGCCCCCCAGAGTAAGCTCCTGGTCCAGGAGGAGGAGGGTAGTGGTGATGCCCACCTAACGTCACTTTCCAACACGCGGCAGGCCCCTCGCAGAGACCCCTCTGGCTGGAGGTGGAGGGGCCTGGGTGGCACCCCCGTCTCAGGCCCTGGCCCCAGCTGTGGCCACCGGATGCCCTCCTATCTTTGCTGGGGAAAGAATGCCAGGACCAGCTTTGGGAAACCTGGGTGCTGAAGAGGGTCTTTTCTCACTTGGCTTCTTGGGCTCCAAAAGTGTCACTTCCTCTTTTAGGCCCCAAAGGCAGACAGGAAGTTCATTTGGGAGGTAATTTTAACTATAAAAGTCTGTTGCTTTTTCCTCTGTCGGGCTGGGTTTTACTGCAGTTTTCCCTGTGGCTGTCAGCCCACGCTCTCGGCAAGGACACCCTGGTCGCCCGGGAGGAAGGTGCGTGATCGGACAGTGGTCCCAAAGACCAGAACGCTCTGGAAGTGAGCGCTCACACAGGGCTCACTGGCCCGTGGGCAGGCCCAGGTCTCCCAGAGGACGAGGGAAGCCACTTCCAGGCCAGGACACCAGCCAGCATCGACCTCAAGGGCATCCGGCACCAGAACCCCTGAGGTGCAGAATCCACTAATTCTGACTTGTGCCCTAACTCTTCATGATGGAAAAAATCCAGGACAGTCCCTTCCTCAGTGCGCAGCAGGTCCCCTCTGACCGTGGGTCTCATTTGGGCTTGGTTGGGGGGTCAGTCCCCAAGGACAGAACTGTCTCAGGTCAGATAAGAAGGCTCCCTTCTCAGTGGAGGCATCTGGAAAGCGGGGCCTTGAGGGAAATAAGCTGAGACGCACGGCTGTGGGGCCAGAGCCCGGAGCCGCCGCAGCGTCACCCACCAGTGACGGGGCCCCAAGGCCCCGGCGGGTGGACAGAGCTGGGCAGCCTTGTCTTCCAGGGGGATGCTCTAAAGCAACAGGCGCTCGCCCCAGGGGGGGCAAAAGGGACCGGCTGTGATGGCGGAGGTCATAGGGAGTGTGTGAACAGCGGGGGCCAGGAGGCAGAATCTGGTCCCAGCCACCCCACCTGACAGGAGGGGATCCCGAGCACAGGGAGCAGTGACAGGCTCAGGCATCAGGCAAGTACCTGTCCTGTCCCTATGATGGGTCATCCAGTCACTAGTCTCGGCTCCACCTCAGGGGGTGTTTTCTGCTCACTTACTATGTGCGGGGCAGTAGGGGGTGGGAGTGGACAGTGGCACCCTGGCACCCAGAGGCCAGGATTCCAACAGTTCCGGGCCCCACAGCACCGCCAGGTGCCCAGGGTCCTTGTGCCCACCCGGCTGGCTCCGAGTGCAACGAGATCTTGTGCAGAGTGTCAGGCCCCAGGGGCGGTGCTGGGTGGGGAGGCCGACAGCCCTGACCTGGATGGCTCCCGGGCCTAACCCTGTCAACCAAACGTCTCCTCCGAGACCCAGTGTGGATGGGGGTGGGAGGAGGGCTCCACTTGCCCTGCCCACCCTGTGAAAGTGGCCTGGGAGGGTAGGGACTCACCCCTGCACCAACCTTCGGGGGAGAAGGGGACACTTCTCTGCGATGGGCTGTATGTTTTCAGACTTTGAGCGGCACCCCTGCCTTCTACACACTGGAGGCCAGTAGCAACTCCCAGTGAGACAACTACAATGTCTCCAGACCTTGCCCAGCATCCCCTGGGAACAGGACTCCCCCAGGGTAAAAACCGACGGGATGAGGCAGGGGCCCGAGACCTGCAGAAAGGACAAGCTGAGCTGACCAAAGCCATTGACATAGCTTATCTTGTATTCTCTTAAATTGTTTTTTGTGGGAACGGATGTCAAACACGGTCATTCGGCGGATCTACAGCATGGGGGGG